GGATGTGTTCCAGAGGGACTTTCAAGCCAGTAAACTCACCAGTACTGCTAAGAACCTGATACATGAACTTTGAAGTCTCTGTATGTATCTGATTGCTTTATAATTTAACAACTCTCTTCCTGTGCTTTCTTTTTTCCCCTATAATAAACCTTTAGTTTTAGACATTAAAGGATTGGCTGGCAGGGGTATTTTGGGTAAGATCCAAACTAGTATTGACCTGGTAACATGGGTGACTCTTTAGTCATTTTGTATATGTGAGCAGAGTTTTTAAATAACTTCTTACTGTACTGGTGCTACTGTACCTAGGTTTTGACTGGCAGCCGGAGAACTGGAATGCAATAAAGGGGGCTGTGTGATTTTTTTTTTTTAAGCTTCTCGATAACCAGTGCGGGGCATCAGAAGCATAGTTTGTGACGGGTGGGTGAGTTTAACTTCAGTGTTAGCCACCAGTTTTGGGAGAATTGGCTCTCCTTTTAGCAGCATGCCCTGACTGTGGCATTTTCAGTGAGGGCTTCCCCAGGCATCCCAGGTCACATGGGGTATGTTTACACAGCAATTAAACACCCACAACTGGCCCATGTCAGCTGACTCAGGCTCATGGGGCTCGGGACTGCAATTTTATAGCCCCACATCCTTGTGAACCCGTTAACTGGCATGGGCCAGCTGCAGGTGCTTAATTGCTTTTAAGACATACCCTTACACATGGTTCACATACAAAGTTGCACCAATTAAATGAAAAGTGTGATTTTTAAACTAATTTTTAGTTAAATTAGTGCAACTTTTCATGAGGACACTCTTCCAGTGATTTAAAGCTGGCTTTTTATTAGCTTAAATGTACAGAGGCAAACTAAATCAATATAACTCTTGTGAAACCACTGTAAGTGGGGCCATTTATGCATTTGCATTAGTTTAACTAAACCAGTGCAAATTTGTGAGTAAACTCTTAGAGGAAATTATCTATGTTCTTCGGTAGCTTGTGTGTACAAGTAAAATCCATTTATTCATGTCTGAATATTGGTGACATCATAACAGAATTTTTGGAAGCCTTCTCTATTTATCAGTAGTTTTGAGCACTCAGCAGCTGCCATCCCAGTGATCTGCTGTACACTAATCATCTCCTTACTGGTCTTCTCCAGCTCCACAATGATGACCCACCACGTCGTCAGTTGTTCAGCGGCGTGTGTGTGTTCTCTCTGTGTGCTGTCCCAGCTCTGTGCAGATACTTGACACAGCAGACCTCTGTCAAACTGCCCAATAACCACAGACCTGTTTGTAGTGAAGGCACTTGGTCACGTTTATTGCCAACGAAGTACGGTCTTAATGCCATGGTTCAATGGTTACAGGTACACCAACACATGGAACGGACTAGCTCAGTTGAAGATGGGACTTTCCATTAGCCCCCAGGCTGGCCAAAGACACTCCCTCTGAAACTTCATTTTATACCCCAATAACAAACAAGTTACATATTGCCCCTCTGACATAGTTACCCACCCCGATGTGGGTTGTTACCACCCATTACCTTGTACATATTGGTTTGATCATAACATCTCTATCACACTGTCATCCTGACCTCATCTTTAGGAGGGGTCATTGTGTTCTCATTATCTTCGGGGAGTGTGTTTGTACCAAACTTGGTATGGGGTAGTCTCATACCACCCTTCTGGAACATGTTTGCGTGAGTGTCCTGTACCTAGGGCTGTCTCAGGAATGTGTGTGTTTTTGCAATATCAGCCCTGCTCTTGCCAGGTTCTGTGAGCCTGCATGCAGACAGAGTCTGACTTCTGTCTCTTGCTAACTTTGCTTTATATTAGCAAGGCTTGACCACTACTTTAGTTCAGGCCTCACACCAGGCCTCTGATACAAGGGGTTATGTCTCAGGCTCTCTTCCTAATACACACCAATTCTTCCATTATAACTTTGTTGAGGTTATTTCCATTTTTATGCCTGATGTGACCAAAGTACATAAGTTTGCTCCTGTTGACTTCTCTACAATATATATTTCTAACATGAACAGAAAAAAAGAAAAAACCTATGAGATACGCAAGAGTCTCTACCAACACCACATCTGAAAGGTTTCAATTTTCGCCTTGCGCATGATTCACATCGATAAGTTGCACTGGAAAAAGTATTCTTTTTACCAGTTGAACCTTTCTACATTTCAAGATGCCCCGGTTTTTCCAAACTTTTGTAAGGAGGCTATGGGTGAACAAACCAATCTTCACCTTCTGATTCCTTTGGTTCAGCCTCCTTGGTCGCATATGTATGATCCTAGATAATTGAATGCATGTGATCTAGCCCATGGGCGGGAGGAGAGGGGAACGCATGGGAGTCAAGGGTGGGGGAGAGATCAGACTAGGAGTGGACGTCTGAGTCTACTGAAGTGAAGGATGAGACGGGGGGCGGGGGGAGCAGGCTTCAGAAGACTGGAGGTGGGGAAGATCAGGTGGAAGGGCGGGACTGGGCAGTGTCATAGACAATGCTGAATGAGCTTAGGTGGTAGCCAGAGCCAGAGAGATTAGAGGACAGAGTTTTAGTGAATATAAGGTCAAATGAATGGCTTTTTTGATGAGTGGGAGAATTAATCCAAGGAGTAGTTGGCAAATACATCAAATGGGAGCACTGATATGGAAATTGAACTCATCAAGGATAGGAGTTGCAGACTGAGAAGAGAGGACAGAGACAGGGCTGGGGCAGATGTCATTTGCTGGTAAGAGTAAGTAAGAGCTGGTGAGAGGGGCGGGAGGGAAGAATAGAAGGAGAAAGGGAGAAGGGATGGCGATCAGGCAGCCAGCAGAAGATTACTTCAATAGTCATGATAGTTAGAAGTGAAAAAAATAAAATCCACAGTGACTCAACACAGTATTTGGAGAAAGGATAAATCACATGAACAGGGAAACAATTAATGAAGGACAAAAATTAGAGCTATGAATTAACTGAATACACAGAAAATGAATTGAGCAAAGAAACTAATCATTAAATCTATACAGAGGAAAGACATTTAATTAAGCAGAAAACAAATGGGGCTTGAAATAATACATTATATGGAAAATGTAAGCGATCAGCTGACAAATCAATATACAGCGAATGAATTGCTCAAAGGGATGATAAAGTATTAAGTACACCTAAGCAGCCTGATAAATGGCAGGCAAGTTCAGTCAGACACAGCTGGAGAGGGCTCCAGAGGCAATTGCTAATTTGTTTTCACTAGTGGAGGATAGTGTGTTGACAATAAGGGAGATGAAGAACTTGCAGATTTATGCTCTCCAGGTCCCTGTGCCTGCCCTGTACTTTGCAGGGGCTGGAAAGATGGCAGTAGCAGTTGGTCTGCCGTGGAAGTGATTAACCCCAATGGTGGGGTGAGGGAGGGTCAGGTACTATAATGCAGGGATGGCAGGTTTGTAGAAATTTTGGTGGTACCCAGAACCTGCTTCCCCCCACCCCACCCCGCCTAAGGCTCTGGGAGGGAGTTTGGGTGGAGTGCAGGCTCTGGGCTGGGGGAGGGGATTGGGGTGCAGGGTACAGGCTCTGGGAGGGAGTTTGGGTGCAGAAGGGGTGAGAAGTTGGGCTCTGGGAGGGAGTTTGGGTGGGGGAGGGGGTCTGGGGTGCAGGCTCTGGGATGGAGTTTGGTTGCTGGGTGCAGGCTCTGGGTTGGGACAGCAGGTGGGGGTACAGGCTCTGGGATGGAGTTTGGGGATGGGTGGGTGCAGAGGGAGGGGATATAGGGGTGAGGGTTGTGGGATGGGGATGAGAGGTTTGGGGTGAGGGCTGTGGGGTGAGGCTGGGGATGAGGGGTTCATGATGCAGGGTGTGGGGTGAGGGCTCTGGCTGGGGGTGTGGGCTCTGGGGTGGGGCAGGGCTGGCGATGAGTTTGGGGTGCAGGCAGGCTTCTCCAGGGCTGGGGCCAAAGAGGAGGACTCCCCTCAGCCTTGTCCTCACTGGCAACAGTGAGATCTGGGGGAGGCCCCCCCCGGCAGCACACTCACCCTGCACCATTGTCACTGCACGTGCTCCCAGGGCCCCTCTCAGGCCCAGGAAGCCCCCTTGCCTCCCCTATGGTGGTTGCAGGGGTGGGGGGTGGCGCTGCCATCACATGTGCACCTCCTCCCCTGCTGCTGCCCCTCACTGGGGGTGGGGAATGGGGCTGCCCCTTGCCCAGTGTGGGGCAGGAGCAGTGACTGTGGGCGGGGGTCACCCTGTGCTGGTGGAGGGTCCTGCCGGAAAAAGGAAGGGTCCGAGGCAGAAGTGCAGGGTCAGGACAGGGCAGGCTGAATGGGGGCACTAGGATCCTGCGGTGGCAGTTCATGCCGGGAGCCAGCAGAGCAGAGTCAGCGTGGAGCTGTAGGGGAGAGGCAGGGACCCAGGGGAGGCACACAGGGGCAGCAGGCAGGGCTGGGCAAAAGACCCAGCCCCAAACATTGGTGGAGCCGGGCCCCGAATATTGCTGGAGCACGGGCACCATGGGACCATACAACTCACTGCCCCAGCTATAATGTTCCCAAAGTAAAGATTGTGTAGCTCTGTTGAGAACTGTGCATTTCCTTGTTTTTCTGACATCACTAAGAATACAACTTTCAAGGTTCCTTCCCCACTCTGAACTCTAGGGTACAGATGTGGGGATCTGCATGAAAACCCCCCTAAGCTTATTTTTACCAGCTTAGGTTAAAACTTCCCCAAGGTACAAATTATTTTACCTTTTGTCCCTGGACCTTATTGCTGCCACCACCAAGCGTCTAACAAATATAACAGGGAAAGAAACCACTTGGAAACGTCTTTCCCCCCAAAATCCCCCCCCAAGCCCTACACCCCCTTTCCTGCCGAAGGCTTGATAAAAATCCTCACCAGTTTGCATAGGTGAACACAGACCCAAACCCTTGGATCTTAAGAACAAAGAAAAAGCAATCAGGTTCTTAAAAGAAGAATTTTAATTAAAGAAAAAGTAAAAGAATCACCTCTGTAAAATCAGGATGGTAAATACCTTACAGGGTAATTAGATTCAAAACATAGAGAATCCCTCTAGGCAAAACCTTAAGTTACAAAAAGACACAAAAACAGGAATATACATTCTATTCAGCACAATTTATTTTATCAGCCATTTAAACAAAACCAAATCTAATGCATATCTAACTAGATTGCTTACTAACCCTTTACAGGAGTTCTGACCTGCATTCCTGCTCTGGTCCCGGCAAAAGACAACCCAGACAGAGAGAACCCTTTGTTCCCTCCACTTTGAAAGTATCTTGTTTCCTCATTGGTCATTTTGGTCAGGTGCCAGCAAGGTTGTCTTGCTTCTTAACCCTTTACAGGTGAAAGGGTTTTTCCTCTGGCCAGGAGGAATTTAAAGGTGTTTATCCTTCCTTTATATTTATGACAACAACTCTCACATCCTGGAAGGGCACAGGGTAGTAGTGAATGCTTGCAACCTTAACTCCATGTTAATGAAAGTTTGTGTGTTAATTTTAAGCATGTTTTATAATGCAATCTTAACTATGGAGCTGCGACCAGTGGCTCTCTAATATTAGAGAAAGGACTCTATTCCTGTCTTCTCTCTCTACACCAAACCAACCCAAAAAGGCAAATGTTGAAGATTTTGGTTGAACGGATTTTTGAAAATGACATTTCACTTCAAAAACTCACAGGGAATTTTTGAAAACCCAGATTTGCTGAGTTAATGTTTTGTTCCTGTTTTGGTTTTGACACAACAAAACGAACTCAAACCCCAAGGGATACAAAGCTTATATGAAACAAGGTGACAAATTTAGCACCCCTGATCATGTATCTCATGAAACTGGCCTACAGGTTTAAAAAAAAAAGGACGGGGAAAGCAAAAGTTTTAGCGTTCTATTTTCCATGCTTTGCAGTTTGGCTAGAGTACATTTCCCACTCGACTGCCTTTTTATATATTAAAAATAATGGAAAAAGATACCTTTCTAGCATAGTTCAGGTTACATTATATTAATCATTAAACATTAATGTATAGCAAGTGCAAAAGTCAAGCATAGCATAAAAACTAAACATTTCCTTCCAGAGCATTCACATTTTTGTCTGTGAGAAAGCATATATTTATCCCACTTTCTTTCCAATGTAGATGCTGATTTTTAGAGGTATCTGCCTTTTTTGCTTGGGTCTTTCAAACATTCTCATGTACACAATACCCTACAGGTATTGCTAGCACACTAGAGTGACTTTGCCCTCATTTTCTAGACATCTCGCTCTTGGCATATTTTTTTTAAAAAAATACTGCAGTGATTATTTTTGTGATTGAAAGAAAAATGACACAAAAATAACATGCCTCAATGCACATTTAGCATGTGAGATTTATAAGTCATGTGCCTGAAAATACAAACTCGGGTTATTTTGTTTGATGTTCTGTGTCCGATTTAGTTTTAAATGGTTCAAATGAGGGCTTCCACCACTTCCATCGGACACTGTTGATAATCTCTCATAGATCTCATTTTGAGGACATTGTTTTGATACTCCAGCTAATTTTTTGTTCTATATCATCCCACAAATCTTAACTAAATACTTATATCTGTCATCTCTGGATTAAGATAAACAACTTAATCCTTACACCTTTCACAGCCTTGTATTCACTCCTCAGATATCACTTAGCCAAACTATACAGATATAATTCTATTAAGGTTTCCTAATAAGTGTATGTGATAAAGTGCATAAACCCCACACTGCAGGAACCATGAAGGGGTGAATGGCCAGAACAGTGACTTCCCCAGCTGTGACCAAGTGGCTGACTAGTAACAGCTGGATAAAAGGCTGCATTCTCAGACAGTGGGGAGGCTGCTAAGGCCAGTGATGATCTCAAGGAGGTGCCATGAGTCCAAGAAGCTGCCCACAGAACAGACCCACAGGTTGTACTCTACAAGGTGGGAAAGAGAAAGCTGGACATTTGGAGGCCCACATTTAGTCAGGTCTTGGAGTAGTCCTCAGAGACCCAGAAAGCTTGGAGACTGTGCTCTTAAAGGGCCATGGCATCACAATAGCCCCTTGGATATGGGTTGAAGGATTAAAAACTTTCACATTCCAGCTCTTTAATTATTTTTCTTGTTCTCTAAATTTTATCCATTTTGTTAACATTTTTCTGGTATTGAGAGGCCCAGAACGAAACACGCTATTCAAAGGGATCTGAGGATCTGGCCCCTACTTTGATACTACCTGGTCAGTTTCTGTTGCATAAGATGATACAATGATGGGAAGAAACTTAAAACACAAACTATATTAATTTAATCCTTAAATAAATCCTTAAATGCATCAACAACCAATGAAGCCGAATGAGTAAAGGGGACACTTGAGAATAGGAGGGCAGTGAAGTATTAATTTAGTTGCATAACTTTGAATGGAATGAAGACTGTAGTTAGAAGAAGAAAGGATTCCAGTCAAATGAGAATCACAGTAATTTAGGCATAATATATAGCTAGAACTTTGACCAAGGTTCTATAGCAAAGGGGAAGGTCAAGGAGTTGCATATTTCAGATGTACAATCAAGAAATTAGATCAACAATATAAACTAAAAGAAAGATAAATGGATTCCCAATTCCTTATCTATCTTGGGTTTTTGACAGAATCTGAGTGCCTTCAATTTAAAATAGATTAGCAATAGCTCACATGTTCACAGTCTAATTGGTTGCCATATGTGGGATTGGGAAGGAATTTCCCCCCAGGTCAGATTGGCAGAGACCATTAGAAGTTTTTCGCTTTCCTCTGAAGCACAGAGTTTGGGTCACTTGCCAGTGTTATAAGGGTATATCTTAATCAATTCCCTGCTATTGCAGGGGCCTCGCGTACTAGTGCACCTTGGTCCCTCCTACTCTCTGCCTGCAGCACCTAATAGTCTAGTCTCCTTTGGTCCAATTTTGGATCGTTGGATTTGGTGTGTGAGTGGTGTTGGGGGCCTGTGGTGTGTAGGAGGTCAGACTAGATTATCAGATTAGTGGTCCCTTATGGTCTTCAACTCTGAGGTCTCCAGGAGACTATGTGGAGTCTTTAGGTCTTTTTCATTTTTTGAGGCAAAGAAACTCTGCTAGTGGTTGGGTTATTTTTGTTTGTTTTTTCTGTTATGTTTTCTGTCTATTTTTTATGGTATTACTATGGGGCTGAGTTAAGATTGGGTGCCTTAACTAAGCATTTCCTTAAGCTTCATAGAATTTAAGGTCAGAAAGGACCATTAGATCAAATAATCTGACCTCCTGGATATCACAAGCCATTGAATTTCATGCAAATACCCTACATTGAGCCTACAATGACTTCAGTTATACTAAAACATTATATTCCTCTGGATGCTAAAATGTTGCAGAAAATAGAGACCAAGGCACCACCAATGCCAGAGGTTCCTGCAAAGTAAAATTAGAATAATATTAAAGGCTGAAAAATACAAGGAAGTAAAAAATACAAAAAGAAAAGTAATGCACAGAAAACCCTCCCAGAGCAAACGATTTGGTAGCACCCACTATCTTGTGCCTGCTCACTGACCTCACGAGGCAGAAGATCTGTTATATCTTTTGGTGGGTGTTCCTAGGTCACTAAGGTTTGTGCACATATTTCTTTTAGTAAGTATGTGCTGATATATTTTAAAATATTTTTGAAACATAAAGATATAGTTGCAATGTTATTGCTTTCAGAGTTGATTCAGTCACGCTATCTGCATAGTGTCTCAAGAATCCTAAATGTTCACTCACATAATAAAGTGAAATTTCAGAGGTCTCTGGAGGCTTATTCACTCTTCCATAAAACAATACGGATCACTACATCCAGTCCAAGTTGTTCAGGGATTATCATACAGTAATATCCTTAGCCTTCACCTGATGTTTCTAATTGTTCTTGTTCTTCAGCATGCATTTGACTTTTCTTCCTGTTAATGCCACCTCACAAACAACCATTTTAGATCCCAGTGTTTCAGGACAGAGTCGATCACTTCCACACAACCTTCTCAATTGTTATGTTTGGAGGAAAAGTAGTTAATCCTCTAAAAAAGACAAATTATTGAATAATACTGAGACCATGCATACAAATATTCACAATTTTCAGACCAGAAAGAATTTTTATAACTCAAATATAAACACTTGAAATGTGGGTTTTAATGGGAATTGAGATAGATTCTTAACAATACTTTTCAGGAAATAAGGTTGTTCATAATAAAAGAAATACATTTTATGAGAGTGGTGTGTACAGTTACTGCATACGTGTTTGCACTATAAATCCCAGGCACCTAAGCTGTTTGTGCCCTTGGCATAAGGAACTGGGATTTTCCATAGTAATGCATTTTGTGTTTGCTCTTAACTGAGATCTGAGAAAGCTCCAGATCAGATGGCTGGATGCTTGCTACTTTTGAATATCTTGTTTACTAAGTTAGTGTATGTGTAAAAGTGACAGAAGGTACTGATAGCAAAACTATGATGCAGAAAAGAATGCTGCAAGCAAAGATATAACGCCAGTAAACATGGGCCTGATCCAAATGAGTCTTTCCACTGACTTCTGAGTTCTGGATCAGGACCTATATGAGCCCTATCTCTTTTAGAGATGTTCATACTGTGTTATGTTTATCAGTAGATTTTATATTTCAAAGTGTAATTCATGTAAAAACTCTTGGCATCTGTACATATAGTTAAAATAATATATAAGCATAAAGGCTCTGCTACTGCTCTTCATACAAAGCAATATTATTTGAAAATAACCACAGATGGGTGTGAATGTCAGGCAAACAATACATAATGCCTTTTTTGTTTTAATAAGATATTAGCGTATTGCAGTATTATCCACAATCCACACAATAACCTCTGCTAATATGGGATTTGTAAACAGAATATCATGTTAACTGTTTGAGATTGCACTTCTGAGTGTTGTCTTTTTGCAATGGAAAAATACCTCTTTCCACACTTTTATGTGCTCTGGAATGCATGACTGCTACCACATCTGTTTCTGCATTATGTTTTTGAAGCAGAAACTCTAATCAGTTTGATTATGTGACAAGCTGTTTCATCCCCTTCTACTTTTTCCAGCAATTTTCTAGGTCATGATTGCATGAGACTTCCCTGTTTAACAAAAGGATTCGAGGAGATTTTCTAGTGTGTCTTTCAGCAAGCAAATTACATTCATTGTTTGGACATTTAAATTTTGACACAGCAATTTCTGTTTGGTAAAATTATTCAGAAATACATTCTCTATTATGTGAGGCACATCTATGCATTTGGCAGTGAAAGCCATTTGTAAAATATTTACAATTTAGTCCTTTCAATAAATATCGAACAGAGATGTGATTAATATTTATTAAATTAAATCCAGCACCTTTCACAAGCACTATTCAACTTTCAATTTAAAATGTTTAATCTAAGTATTTTAGATGTAGTGTAAAAACTTGTGTTTGATGTCTGCTTTCTTATCTTACAAAATGATTTCATTGTGTTTGTGGAATATAGTGTAGAGTGAAATTATTGTGGCAAGTTACATTTTTTAAAAATGTAGGGTAAGTAAATCTGGCTGGTAAAAGAAAACAGTGTTTTCCCATCAAAGATCATGTAGATACAGTCTATAAACATTCTCACAGGGAATAATTCCTCACCCTGGATCATCCCCTTCTGTGGTAAATCCTACAGGGGTGGGTTCAGAGGGTAGAAGTTTCTGCAAGAGATTATTATTGTGCTAGAGATGTGGAATTTCCCCAATCATGGAAATGACCACAGGGCCATATCCCAAACCTGGAAGAAAGGGAAAAGATGTTCTTGTGGTTAACATGATTGTGACCCAAGAGAACTGAGTTCTATTCTTGGCTGTGTTACCCAGCTTTAGATAAGGAGTCTGTAAGTCACTCACACCAAAATGTTCATAATTATGTTCCTTATTTTCTGAGTGCCACACTTGGGACTCCTAGACCGAAATTGTGACTCCACTAAAATCAATAGGAGTTTTGTCTTGTTTTGAGGATCCTATTGAAAACAACAGGTTTCCTACTTCTAGAATCTAATCTTCAGAAGCGTTGAGGACTTACAACTGTATTTGATGTCAACAGGAGCTGTGGGTGCTCAGCAACTCCGAAAAATGGCACCCTAGATTTTTCAAGTTGGGGACCTAGGTAGTGAGGCACTCAAAATTAATGGACATAGGTGAATTTTGGCCTTAATTGCTCTGTTCTTCAGTTCCCTATCTATAAAATGGGCATAGTAATACCACTCACCCTTCACATGGGTCTTGTGAAGACATTCATTTATTTTTGTGAGGCACTATGGTGATGGGTACCCTAGAAAAGAAAATGAATGATTCTGGGCTGGGTTTGGTTTGTGTACAGCACATTAGGCATAGAAGCAACACACCGAATGATGATAAATAAAAATACTGAATAGCTCCCTCATTCACCAAGTACCTTTTATCCTGTGCACTGAATGAGGCAGAGGTCCCAAGGATAAAAATGTGGCAATTTAATTAAAGATTGTATCACAACGCATATGCACAAAAGGGCAGAACTAAGACTGCAGCAGCAACAGATAGCTCAGTGGTTTGAGCATTGGCCTGCTAAACCCAGGGTTGTGAGTTTAATCCTTGAGAGGGCCATTTAGGGATCTGGGGCAAAAATTGGGGATTGGCCCTGCAGGGGGTTCGACTAGATGACCTCCTGAGGTCCCTCCCAACCCTGATAGTCTATGATTAATTCTGACATTTTCTAACTTCTAAGTACTTGACTATGCAACGTGAACAGCTTTTAACATTTTTGTGTGTGTGTGTAGTTAAAAGTACACATTTACGAGGTGTACAAAACACACCTACAACACTGTGTGATCAACATCTTTGGGACCCCGAAGCAGATCTGTCACTCCATTTTTAATCCATAAACATTTTTCTATTCCACCGACAGGTCCACCATGAGAAAACTCTGATTTAATGTTCCTGGGACTTGGTTCCTTTTGAAAATCTTAATACATATGTCAGAAAATTAGGGCGACACATCCACTGCCACGTGTCCAGGCCAGAACAGGGCGACCAAGTGAGGCGGGGTATTGAACACGACTCGAACAGACACCTTCCCCACGCGCGGGGCGGGCTCCGAGCGGCGCCTCCCCCAGGCCCGCGGCTGCTCTCCTGGGGTCCGGGCGGAGTTAAGGGCAGAGCAGGGTCTGGGGCCACGGGGAAGAAGCGGGGCAGGGCACCACGTGATGCCTTACGCAACTGCGTACGGCTAGGGAGGGGCCTGTGACTCGTGGGTGAGAGTGAGGCTGAGGGACCTCAGAGCCTGGCTCCCGGTCACAGCCCCGCCCTCTCGCGGTGGCCCCGCCGGCGGTGCCTCCCGGACGCCGTACCCGCCTCGCGCGGCGTCGCACGACGGAAGCTGCGTGAGGTCAAAGGCGGCGGCGCGCGAGGGAAATGGCGGCGCCGCTGGGAATCGGTCACGTTGCCTGTTGCGCGAATCGGGCTGGCGGCGGGGCCGTGTCGTGGGGGCGGGGCGGGCTCCTGGCCTTCGGCACCTGCCGCTCTGTGGCGCTCTACGACCCCGAGGTGAGGGGGGCGGGCAGAGGTGAAGGTAGACCGGACCGGCTTCCCCAGGCTGGTGATTTAAAGGGCCTGGGGTGCCCGGTAGGGGCCGGAGCCCCGCTGCTGGAGCCCGGGGTAGCGGCGGTGGTCGGGAGCCCCCCGTGGATCCGTGGGTAATTTAAAGGGCCGGGCACTTTAAATCGCCGCTCGAGTCCTGGGGCTCCCGGCTGCCTCCACAGCTGTAGTTCCCGCGGTGGTTTACAAGGCCCGGGGCTCCCAGCCGCTGCAGCCCCAGGCCTTTTAAATCGGGAGTTAAAGGGCCAGGGGTTTAATGGCCCCGCCTCTTCTGGTTGAGGCCCCGCCCCCCGCTCAGGGCTCAGGCCCTCCTGGGGGCGGGACAGCTACCTCGTTTGTCCCCCAGGTAGCGCTGCTGCTGGGCCCGCTGGCCTCGGGAGTTCCACTGCCCGTGCCTCAGCTGCCGCCTCGCAGCCTGGCCGGGCTAGGCACCCGGCTGCTCAGCCCCCACCGGTGGGCACGCGCCGTGCTGGGCCTCCCCATTGCAGCCCCGCCCCACAGCGACTTGGTTATCAGCTCCCGGCGGCCCTCTGCTGCATGCGCCGGCCGCGAGCCTCCTCAGCTGTGTGCGTAGCGGGGAACCGAGTCCATGGGCTCGCGCTGGGCTGGCAGCACTTACCCTGCATGGAAACCCATGTTATAAACAGGCCAGCTCTCTGTGCGTGCAGATGGGCCTGGCCCCCGGGGGCAGGATGTCCTGGGGCTGCCCTCAGCGACTGCCCCCGAGAGCAGCGGGTGTAGTCTGAAAACTGCTCTCTGTCTTAAATTTGCTACCAGTAGCCATTACTGATATTAAACGGCTATCTGACCTACTCTGATACTGTAACAGCAGAAGTAAATTGTAATCAGTATCAGTTACTGATATGTAAAGTTGTTCTTATTTGCTAACTTGTCCTAATTTGCTGAAACTTGACAGTGGTGTGGGATGGAAGCATAAAGTCTTCAGCTTCCAAAGAACCCTGCCTGGGGTATGTGTGTATCAATTACTTCTTAATTGACTGAGGGCATTTAAATGTCATTTATTTTGTAGCTGCATTTACTGTGCAAACACAACATAGCAAATGCAATACTAGAAACACAGCTGTCTGTGCTAAAACTATAACTATAACTACTTATACATACTTTCAATGAGTATTTGTTATTAACATATAAATTAAATAGCACAGTGACACATCTGCACAATAACAAATGATGAAGTGCTAAGAGTAATTCAGGGAGTCCCAGCAACAAATAAGACAGGTTTGTGAACTGCTAAGATTCCTTAAAAAAGAAAAGGAGTACTTGTGGCACCTTAGAGACGAACAAATTTATTTGAGTATAAGCTTTCGTGGGTGAGCTGTAGCTCACGGAAGCTTATGCTTAAATAAATTTGTTCGTCTCTAAGGTGCCACAAGTCCTCCTTTTCTTTTGCAGATACAGACTAACTTGGTTGCTACTCTGAAACCTAAGATACTTTGTGCACTTTTATAAAGTCATAAGGGATTCTTTGTTTGTGAAGGGATATATGTAAAATATTTCACTGAATCAAATCTCCTGCAGCACCTCAGTAAGTCACATCAGACAGAGAGGAGCTGCGGTGACTAGGCATTGGGATGCCTGTGCCTTTAAGAACCCAGCGGGAAGCCCAGGCTGAGATCTGCTGTCTTGTGAGAGGGAAAATGAAAAAGCCCCTCTGACCAAATTAAAAAGCCCCTTTGCCCCCGCACCCTATTTTTGCAAACACTGGTGTCTCAGTCCACTGGGGTAACTGTTACCCTCTCTACCCCTGCCTGTGCTAGGGTTTTGCCCCCTGCTACCCTCTGGCAGCACTTCATCTCTGGCTCCTATCCCCCATCCCTGGTTTAGTCCTTCAGCCCATATCCTATCCCTGCCTCGATCTGCTTGAACGCCCCTGGCCAGTCAGTTTCCGTCTCCTGCTCACCCCCCTCCTTCAGTTTGCCCCCTTTGGCTCTTTTTACCCCCTGTAAAAAGCAGTCTGCAGAATCTGATGCCAAGTAAAGGCAGGGTGAAGGGCTGTGGCTTCAGCAGATGTTATTGAGTATGCTCAGGTCGTGTAGTACACCATAAGCAGCAAATTAAGACAGAGAGCAGTTTTTCTTTGCTCAGCCTCCCTCTGGCTGGGCATCATTGTGCATCTCCCTTCAGCTTCCTGTTCTCCGCTTTGCTTCTGGTGCCGAGGCTGCCAGCCGCATGGCTGCCCTGAGTGGTTGAAGGCCCGCCTCCCATTAAAACGCGAACATCAAGAAGGTGTTTGATCTTTTTTTCTGTAACTTGTTCCTTCTTGAGCAAGCTCTCCAGGACATCAGGAAGTTGTTAGCTAAATGACCCTTCTTAAAGCTTTGGCAGAGTGGCTCACCTGTCCTCATTTTTATAAAACATAAATTTCCTCAAAAACAGTTGGGCAACTAAACATTTTCTTTCTTTTCTCAGAAAAGAAGAGTAGTTGCTACACTGAATGGTCACACTGGTAGAGTTAATTGTGTGCAGTGGATTCACAACCAAGATGGCTGTAAGTCAGGGGTGGGCAAACTTTTTGGCTTTAGGGCCACATTGGGTTTCCGAAATCGTATGGAGGGCTGGTTAGGGGAGGCTGTGCCTCCCCAAACACCAAGGCATGGCCCAGCCCCGGCCCTGGCCCCCTATCCGACCTTTCCTGCTTCGCATCCCCTGACGGCCCCATTCATCCCTCCCTGTCCCCTAACTGCCCCCAGAACCCCTGCCCCTGACTGCCCCCTGCCACCCCATCCAACCCCCCCCGGTCTCCTGTCTCCATTCAACCCCCCTGCTCTGTGACCGCCCCGACCCCTATCCACACCCCTGACCACCATCTTGAACTCCCTGCCCTCTATCCAATCCCCTCCACTCCCTGCCCCCTTACCGTGCTGCCTGGAGCGCTGGTGGCCCTACAGCCGCGGTGCCCAGAGCACCAGGACAGGCAGCCGCGCTGCCCAGCTAGAGCCAGCCACGCCACCGCGCAGCACAGAGCACCGGGTCAGCACCGGGTCTGCAGCTGTGCTGCCTGGCAAGAGCTCGTCGCCCAGAGCGTTGCGCCGGTGACGCAGTGAGCTGAGGCTGCAGGGGAGGGGGAACAGCAGGGGATGGGCCAGGGGCCAGACAGGACGGTCTCGCAGGCTATAGTTTGCTCACCTCTGCTGTAAGAACTAAGCAAGCTGTGTTTGCAAATACCCACTTTTGTTCTGTGCTAGAACAGGATTCTTATTTTTCATGTGCTCATCTGAGGACTGTTGAATCCTGGATGCTGTCAACTTGCAATCTCATCAATTTAAAAATTTGAATTAACTAGTTGTTTGGGTGCTTGGGGGGTAGGCGAGCAGTGGCGCGTGGCCCGGGACCCTGCTGGTGCTGGGGGAGGGGGTCTTCTCTGGAAGTGGCCACGCAGCTCTATGCTCTGCCTCCCACCCTGAGCGCTGGCTTCACAGCTCCCGTTGGCTGGGAACTGCAGCCAATGGGAGCTATGGGGGCGGTGCCTGAAGGTGAAGGCAGTGCACCGAGCCCCCTGGCTGCACCTCTCCCTATGAGCTGAAGGATGTCGCGGTTTTTGGGGCGCTCCCACCAAGGTAAGTGCTACCCAGAGCCCTCACCCCCTGCCATGCTCCAACCCCTGAGCCCCTGACCCAAATGTCTGCTGCTGGGGGGGAGTGGGGGTGGGCGGTGGCCCGAACTGCCCTAGCAGCGGCCACTGTGGCTGGCGCAAGGGCTGCCCGAACTGCTCAGGTGGCCCGAGGGCCAGCTGCACTGACCGCTGTAGAAGTCACGGAGGTCACAGAAAGTTATGGAATCCGTTACTTCCGTGACCTCCATGACAAACTCGCAGCTGTAGTCATTAGAGGAGGTTTTGGAACAAATTGCTAAATTAAACAGGAGTAAGTTACCAAACCAGAGGATATTCACCTAAGAGATCTGAGGGAACTCAAATATGAAATTGTAGAGCTGCTAACTGTGTTACGTAACCTATCATTTAAATCAGTTTCTATACTAGCTGACTGGAGGATAGCTAATGTGACACCAATTTTTAAAAAAAGCTCTGGAGGCGATCCTAGCAATTACAGACTAGTAACTCTAACTTTGGTACCAGGCAAATGGGTTGAACCTGTAATAAAGAAAAAAATTATCAGACACATAGATGAAGATTTTTGGGGAAGAGTCAACATGCCTTTTTATAGGGAAATCATGCCTCTTCAATCTATTAGAATTCTTTTGAGGGAGAACAAACGTGGACAAGAGTGATCCAGGGGATATAGCACAGTGGTGACCAAACTTTTCCTGTCATGACCCCCCTTACCAGTATTGGAATTTGTCTGTGCCCCCCCTCCATTGCTGTACAGTTGGCTCAGTAGAGGATCTTAGGCTGAAAGTAGAACTGGAGATGGATGAGGGGCTGGTGCTAGAGGGCGGAGAGGGAACGAGGGCAGAGTGGAGCTGTGGCTGGGAGTGGAGCGGGGTTTGGTGGTGCTCCTTCCCCACCTCCTGTCTGGACCGTGCCGTGCGCTCCCCTGAACATTCCTCTGCGCCTCCCTACGGGGGATTGCCCCACAGTTTGGGGGCCACTGATACATCATACTTGGACTTTTAGAAAGCATTTGACAGGCATTTTAAACAAAGTATGCAATCATGGAATAAAAGGGACAGTCCTCTCATGCATCAGTAACTGGTTAAAAGTCTGGAAACAAAGGCTAGGAATAAATGGTCAGTTTTCTGAATGGAGACAGGTAAATAGTGATATCCTCCAAGGATCTGTAGTGGGACCAGTGCCATTCAACGTACTCATGAATGATCTGTAAAAAGGTTTAAATAGCGAGGTGGCAAAATTTGCAGACAATACAAAATTATTCAGATAAAGTCCAAAGCAGACTGCAAAGAGTCACACAAGGGATCTCACAAAACTGGATGACTGGGCAACAAAATGGCAGATGAAATTCAGTATTGATGCAACGTAATGCACAATGGAAAACATAATCCCAACTATACATACAAAATGATGGCGTGTAAATTAGCTGTTACTACTCAAGAAAGAGATCTTGGACTGAAGAATAACTCTCTGAAAATATCTGCTCAATGTGCAGCAACCGTCAAAAAAGCTAAAAATGTTAAGAATCATTAGGAAAGGGAAAGATAGAAAATATAATGCTACTCTATAAATCCTTGGTACTTCCACATCTTAAACACTGAATATAGTTCTGCTCACCCCATCTCAAAACAGATAGAATTAGAAAAAGAGAGAGACAACAAAATGACTAGGGATATAGAACAGCTTCTGTATGAGGAGAGATTAAAAAGAATGTGACTTTTCAGCTTGGAAAAGAGAAAACTAAGGGGTATGTATATCTGATACAGGTCTATAAAATTGTGAATGTTGTGGACAAAGTGAATATAGAAGTGTTGTTTACTATTTCACATAACACAAGAACCAGGAGTCACCCAATGAAATTAATAGGCAGCAGATTTAAAACAAACAAAAGGAAGTACTTCCCACAGTTCACAGTCAATCTGTGGAACTCATTGCCAGGGGATGTTGTGAAGGCTAAAATATAATGGTTTCTTTAAAAGGATTAGATAAGTTCGTGGAGGATAGGTCCATAAATGGCTATTAGCCAAGATAGTTGGGGATGCAACCCCATGCTCAGGGTGTCCTTAGCCTCTGATTGCCAGAAGCTGGGAGTGGATGACAGGATGGATCACTCAGTGATTTCCTGTCTTTTCATTCCATCTGAAGTACCTGGCATTGGCCACTGTTGGAGGACAGGATGCTGAACTAGTTGGACCGTTGTTCTGACCCTATATGGCCGTTCTTGATACGTCCTAGGGTACTTAAGGAACTAACTGAAGCAATCCTCGGAGCCATTAACAGTTATCTTTGAAAACTCCTGAGGATTGGAGAGGTCCTGGAAGACTGGTGAAGGGCAAACATGGTATCTTTATTTAAAAAGGGTAA